ACCCAAGCAAGTACAATCATCAACCAGCAACCAAACCAGCTACAGAATCATCTAAAAACTGTCCTCCTTGCATTTTGAGCTGCAAAATCATTAATAAAACGAGTACAATCAAGTTCTTCCAAGAAATCACTTTCAACAGATATCAAAGTTAAACCATTTAATCTTTCTTGTGACATGGTTGAGCGCAAGCAGTGGCGGATCCACATAGGGGCAAGGGGGGTCAATTGACCCCCGCAAGCCCGGAATCCTCCATAGGAGCTGAAGAACTTGACCCCTGCAAATGCCCAAAATGTGTTTGATGAAATGCCCCAAAGAGAGGAGCAGCCATAGCCAGGAGCTGCGCAGCGCGCGCAAGGCCAGAACTTCTATTTTTTTTTTTTGTTCCTGGCTCAGGTTTAACGAAAAAAAAAAATTAAAAAACTTGCAGCAGGCCAGCAGATCGATAAAACAGATTGGGGAATGGGTTTTTCACTCATTCCTCTCATTCAAACCCTAAATCCCCAACCCCAACCCCTAATTCTACTCAACTTTCACTCAATCTGAAGGCCTCTCCACGTGAATCATCCTCCGGCGCCGGCGTTCCCCTCATCAAGTGGTGGCAGCAAACCCCAAATTCAATTAGCTTTGAAATTTGCTCTCAAAATTGAAAGTATGTTATCCTATTTCATAATCTTTTTATGCTTTGATAAGATTGATTAATATGTATATGTTGATTAGTTTGAATGAATTAGAGTTTTTAATTAATTATATGTTAGTTTGTATGATTTAATTAGTTTGTATGTTTTAATATGATGGATTTTATCCCTCAAATTGAAATTATGTTATCCTATTTTGTAATCTTTTATTATGCTTTAATTGATTAATAAAGATTATTGTACATTTTTGTTGTTGTTGATTGTATTTGTTAGAAGTTTTTTATTATTTTGGTTAGTTAGAAAAAATCTTGGCAATTTAGATTATTAATTAGTTTCTATATTTTTTGCATATAAAGTTATGGAACGATACTTTAAGAGAAAGTTCTCATCAACTACTTCTAGTTCGGATAATGTGGGTAGTTCGAACTCAAGAGATGTGGGTATTTCAAGAGATGTGGGTAGTTCAAAAGAAAGTGAGTTGCAAGATCTTATGAATAATCTTCCTGCAGATCCTGGACTTCGACCTCAAATGTTAGATTATGATCCTAACATTCGAGACAATCCCATAAAGAACAATGTAGGCAAAAATTCTAGATTATGAATTCTCCCATGAATGTATGCAAAGACACAAATAATAATGAATGAACAATTAGGCACACGAGATATGAATTTTTCAAACCAGTGTCACAAAAGAGATTTCTAAGCAAAGCTTGTAAGGAGATATCAAGTCAAAATTGAAGAGTAACAATGAGAACCCACAACATCAAGCGTTTTTAAATATCTCTATTGGTTCACTTTCACACCAATGGACCCTTGTGAATTTTTGCTAACCTTGATTATATGGTGTTGCCTAACATGCATAGATATTTTAAAATACTTGATGCTGTGGGTTCTCATTGTTACTCTTCAATTTTGACTTGATATCTCCTTGCAAGCTTTGCTTAGAAATCTCTTTTGTGACACTGGTTTGAAAAATTCATATCTTGTGTGCCTAATTGTTCATTCATTATTATTTGTGTCTTTGCATACATTCATGGGAGAATTCATAATCTAGAATTTTTGCCTACATTGTTCTTTCTGGGATTGCACTCATTTGTTTTTCTTCTTTTTCGTAAACACAAATTTAACATTAAAAAAAAATATTACGCTTTAAACTACGTTAGTGTCGTTCTATTTGTTTTGTTTTTCTTTATTTTCTCTCTTGTTGTTTCTCTCTCTTAACCTTCACTTGTTCCCTCAAAATTGCTTTCTTTTTCTCACATTTCTCTTCTTTCTCTGTGACATCAAAACACCACTTCGCCATTCCTACCGCTTGGTTTCTCTTCCTCGCATGGCGCCTGGTCCGCTATCCACCAAGGAGACGCCCATGAAAATTTCAGTGGCTTTCGTTGTGTAGCCACGATTCAGTACTCTTCTGATGTGCAAATGGCTATTTACTTGAGGGGTAGTTTGCCATTGCCTATCCAAAAAAGGGGGAGTAAACATTCTGAGTTTTATTTTTACATACATATTGTATTTTCGGTCATACATGCTTTTAATTGGTTATTTTTTGTTTAGTGGTGCAGAATTCAGGTTACCTTTTCTAGTGCAAGTGGTCATGTTTGAGGAATTCTTTTCACTCACTTGTAATTGGTTTAGGTGGAGATTGTTATTACCAATTTTTGTAATTAGAGTTTTTGTATAGGAAATGCCAAAGGAGGAGATTGTTAGGACCAATTTTTGGTATATTGGCAATTTCCTGTTACAAAAACATAGAGTAGGTCTTTCAGTGTAACCTACAGTTTTTAAGTGACGTTTTGCTATCCTGGATCAGTGTGGGTCAGAGACAATGCCAAGGTATGTTTTGCATCCATGCATTCATATTTGCATATTTGCAAGTTCATCAAAAGTGGCTATCAAATGTATAGGACTGATATATGGTTTCTGTCTTACATAATCCAGTGCCAGACATCAGTGAGTTTTTAACGATGGTTTTATACTCTTTAGTTTGGTGTTTATTTAAGCAAAATGATTCTTTTGTCTTTTTAGCTGGGTTTTTAGTTAAGTGGCTTTATTTGTTTTAAAGAAATACTTTATTTGTTTTAAAGAAATACTTTATTTGTTCAAAAGACTATTTTTGCTAAAGCGTTTTTGGTCTCTAACCTAGTTTTAAGCGTGCAAAATAAGAAAGGAACTTTAGCCGTTTTGTTCTGTGCAAGTTGAAAAGAACAGGACGAGAGAATATTTTTTGAGCGTTCATATTGAAAACTCATGTGGCTGTTCCTTTTTAGCCTCCATGAGTAATTAAATCATCATTTTTTTTTCTTCATATATGTGTGAGTTCATGAGCATTACGCATGTTGGTGATCAACAATCGTGCCTTGAGGTGTGAGCAATCGAGACCAGTGTTATGCCATCTCTTGTTGAAGAAAGAAGACACGATTGCTAATTGGGTTGAGTAGCAAAGGCAAGTAGGCAAGTCTGTATTGTGAGCGTTAGCCTTGTGAGTTGAGACTTGTAAGACCTTTTTGTATTCTTTCTCATAGTGATTTGGTCTCCGGTATAGTGCGTTGTAAGACCTTTTTGTATTCTTTCTCATAGTGATTTGGTCTCCGGCATAGTGCACACAGTTGTTTTCCTTATCTTGAGGTTTTTTACTGCGTCAACATATCTTATGTCCCTTGTGCGATTGTTTATGTTTTTGTTTGAGTTTATTGCAACTGCGTATTCTAGAATTTTGCTTATAGGATAGTTACGGTATTTCAATCATGCTCTGATGTTTGAGTATTAAGAAACAGATCGGTTGACCAATTTAGGGAATTTCATAATAGCAATTTCAAAGACTGACAGGAATATTGATTGAGGTTATACTTTGAATATTGATTGTTGTCAGACTTTAAGGCTACAAGAAGATAACGGTGCTAAGAGAAGCTGGAGGTGTTCAACCCGTGTGTAAGTGGATCCATCCTTCACTCGTTTTTCTATATTTGGGCATATGGTTTTGGAGTGTTGCTAGTTTTTAGTCTTTCTTCACTTCTTTTTTTGGATTTGGGCATGTGCTTTTGATGTTGCTAGTTTTTTAGTCTTTGTTTATGTCTTTTTTTGGTCTAAAAGGTCTTTGTTTATGTCTTTAACATTTTTAATTATTTTTCTGTTGTTTGTGAACCTGGTGTGTTCATTTCTTTATGTCTTTAATATGTGACTTTCTTCCTTTTTGTGGCCTTCGGCATGTGAGGTCCTTTTATTGTCTTTGTGTTTTGTGTGGTCTTTTTCTTGTTTTTTTTGTTGCTTGTGGACCGAGCTTTGTGGTCCCTTTTTTGTATGTATTCCATGGACTATTTATGAGTTTGGTATTTGGTAATTGCCAGATGAAGATTATGATGATCTTGTAACATTTAAGTTTTGTCATGGAGGCAAACTAGTGGAGAAAGGCTCGGATGCTTGTGCTGCAATTAGTAGGTTTTATGGGAACCCAGAGGATTATGTTGATGATTGGTATAAGAAAGATGCTTATTTGAGAACCTATGAGCCCGTGATTATGCCAATGACTAGTGAGGATCAATGGATGAAGACTAATTTACCTCCATTGATGCCTCCCAAATACCATAAGCAACCTGGCAGACCAAAAAAGTCAAGGAACAAAGTAGCAGATGAACCTAAGAAATCCACTCATCATTACAAGCTTCCAAGATATGAAATCCCATTAAAATGTGGGAATTGTGGTGAAGAATGACATAATTGGCTTGGTTGTAAGGTATAAACTGACCTTTTTAAGCTCATTTATTTAGTTGATTTTGATTTTGAAATATTAACTAAATCATATGTTATTCTCAGGAGCCAAAGAACACAAACTCTAAGCCTCCCAAGAAAAGGACTTCTAGACCAGAGCTTACAGTAATGGCAATTTTGAACTGTCTTTTTGGGTTAAAACTTCAATTATTTTATTTCTGAACCAAACAATGGCATTGTTTGTAGGTAAGAAGGAGAGATGCTACACAAAACACGATGGAACTCATGCCAAAAATCCTAAGTAGCAGTTCCCATCAAGAAGTTAATGGAGATGCATCACATCCTAAGAAATTAAGGCCAAGAAAAGAAGCATGCAGATCCCAGCCCCTAATTGAAGCACATGCAAATCAAGCAAGGCCAAGAACAGAAGTAAGCTGGAAAAAAAAAAAAGAACAGAAGTATGCAGCTCACAACTTCCAATTCAAGTAGGGCCAAGTTCGCATAATGCAAGTCGAGAGGGTCAAACTAGGAAGAGGAAGAATCAGCAACAAAATGCACAAAGGAAGTACTTTGTGCTTTAGGACCAAAACCAAGCTACACCTACCCTTCGGATTATATTTTTACCAACTCTCAGGCAAGTCAGGTATGCTAAGAGCCCAATAGATGGAGTACCGGGCCTTAAAAAGCCCCAAAAAAATACATGTACGTAATTGAAGAACAAAACCAGAAACTGAAGAGCAAAGCAGGCAAACAGTTGCCAACGTTGGACTGGACGAGGTTATCATCACTCAGCAAAATCCCAATGAGGATGGGCACCTGTGAGCCGCTGTTTTTGTTGGCTCCTCGAAATTGATCAAAACTGGGCAGAACCTTCGAAACATCATCCATTCCTCCTCAAAGCCTCGTTCTTTGGCCGGGAGATATCTCTTGTTCAGCAAATTAACCACAACTTTTTTGAATCAAGTTCACGCATCAATTTTCTTCAAAGCCTCTATCTTTAGCCAGATACCAACAAGGGAAGCTTTAGCTTCCGCCTGAAGAGCTCAATGAGCCATAAAGCTGAGATTTTTCCCTGCTGATAAAGCTCGCCGATGAGTTCTGATCATAACCCAGAAGAAAAGGAAAAAAAGAAAGCAATGCAGGTAAGCAATTCTTGCCCTTGAATGAATTACTTGTTGAAGATTCATTCTTTTTTACAAGACACAATAGAAGTAAGTGTTCCTCAGATTGAGGATGGGTCTGGCATATAGGAAACAGAGGATTTTTAACATTTATTCTTTTAAAAATATGAACTTTATTATTTAAAGAACATAATTTCCTCATTTTTGGCAGTGACTTCCACTCCCCATATAATCAAATCTTCCATGACCCCTTTGTTAATTTGGGGGGAAGATGGATGGTTCTCCATGGAAGCACCTTCAGACTTGTCCATGCCCAAGAAGCTTTTGTTAACCTGCCACATTGCCCCATCAGTAAAAAGTTTTCTGTCTGCAAGGCTTGTCCATGCCCAAGAAGCTCTAGAACCCTGTGTTTAGAGTTTGGGTCTCTTTATCAGCCCTTCATATTCTTTAAAATTCTATCTCTGACATAGCAGAAAAGCCTTTTTCTTAGAGCTATCCCACATAGTGCGAAGCCCTACATATTTTCCTGGATTCACTGTCACATTGATCTTGAGTACTTCACAGACATTTGTTGGAAGTTAGGAGGAGTACTAGTCTGAAAAATGGACTTGACTTATTATAGTTCACCAAACTAGCTTGTACATTACAAGATAGATCCAGGATCCAGGCCATTGCCTTGCTATTTTCAACAGCCGCGTTCACAAAATTAGAGAATCATCTACAAGTAGCAGATGACCCAACATTGGGCCATTCTTATGAAGTGTCACCCTTTGTGACCTGTTAGCTTGAAAGGACTTTTGTACCATTTGAGATAAAGTTTCACCAACAAAAAGAAATAGATAGGAGGTAAGGGATCCCCATGTCTTATGCCTCTATTGGATGTAAATTTCCTGCTTGGATTCCCATTTCCCAACACTGAGCTGATGCATTTCAGTTTCACAATCAAACCAACCCAAGATCAATTAAACCCCGTTTTGTGCATTTTTTTTAATTATATTCTATACTTCATAATTTAAGAGAATCAAGAAAAAGAGAAGATCACTTGTGACACTCATACATTTTTTATTTTTGTTTTTGGCTCGCTTCATAGGCTGATTACATCTTGAGAAAGAGTAACAAAAGTAAGTATGATTACAACCTGGCAGATCGAATCAGTGAGTTGGCAGATGAAGTTCTTGTTAGTATACTGACTCTCCTGCCACTAAATGAAGCAGCAACTACTAGTATCCTTTCGAAGCGATGGCGGTATCTGTGTCGGTATGTGTTGGCATCTACTATGACTCTCAACTTTGATGCTGAGAAAACTTTATGCAGTTTGATTGACCTCAATCGAGAAGAACGAGAACAGAAAATCAGTAGGTATGTTGATTGGGTGAATAGTGTGGTGGAGCAGCATACATGGCCAAACATTGAACAATTCAGGATTTCTTTTGATTTGGATAATAGCTTTTCAAGTTCCATTAATAAATGGATTCAATTTGCACTGAAAAAAAGAGTTCAAATTCTTGAGTTGGACTTCTCAGAAGATGGCATTCATCATCGACAGAAATCCTGCTATAATTTTCCCCATGAACTTTTAGGTATCAGCAGAGGGTCTACTTCTACAGCTGTGTGTTGTGAAATTCCAAGTCTAAACCCTTGTGTATACCTTGGCTTAAAGTCAATCAGAGTTCTTCATTTCAATTTTGTTGATGTGGCTGAAGAAGTTATTGAGTGCTTCTTGTCTAATTGCCCAGTTCTTGAACGGTTATCAGTGTTTCACTCCCCAAATTTGGTAAATTTAAGGGTTGTTGGTCCATTGATTGCATTGAAGTACCTAGTAATTCGACGATGTAACAGCCTTGAAAGCATTGAGATTTGTGATGCAAACCTGGTTTCACTCAGTTATGTTGGAAATGAGATAAGCTTGCTTCTTAGGAATGTACCGCTGCTTGTTGAGGTATCCATTTCTGAGGACTGTATCTGCAATAATTTCATAGAGGTTGCCTTCACACAACTTTCGTGCTGTCTTTCTCAGCTAGAGATTCTCAAACTGACTGATCAAATAGTGGTTAGTACTTAGTATATGTAATTATCATGTATTGGTTTTCCTTCTCCTTGTTGGATTATATTAGTCCCTTACTCCTTGTTTCTTTTTCAGCCCTACAAGAGGGATCGTATATTTCCTATATTAGCAAATCTAAAGCATTTGGAAATAATATTTGAAGAAGACAATGTTTGTGGCCTTCTTCAGTTAACTTCCTTCTTTAGGGCATCTCCGTGCCTGCACAGACTTGTGTTGTACTTGCAGGTATGCATATTCTCACTTGGTAGATTATTTTCTCAGTAAAACTTGGTAGTTGTATGTGTACTTTGGGTAATTTTGTTTCTGAGATTCACTGGATGGTTTTGAACTTTTACCATCCTGTTATGTGATGCATCTTTTACTTTCATTGTGAAACGTGCATTTTCTTCATATAGAATTGCAAAATCATGTTAACCACTGTAATAAATGAGGTAAAAGGTTATATGTTCCTAGATCCTAATTGAAATTTCATAAATTGAGATCTGTTATATTGTTCACTTGATATTGGACGCAAGCGCGCACACATCCCAATTGTTTCTTTCTATTGCCATGATTTTTTATTCAATACATGTTTCATGGCTTACACATAATAATGTCCTTATGTAAGTTGAGTGTCCCTTTGATATGTTAGGCTCTTTAATTTAAACTTCTGCGTTAACATTATTTCTTCAACCTATTCTATATAAACGTGCATTTTCTTCATATAGAATTGCAAAATCATGTTAACCACTGTAATAAATGAGGTAAAAGGTTATATGTTCCTAGAACCTAATTGAAATTTCATAAATTGAGATCTGTTATATTGTTCACTTGATATTGGACGCAAGTGCGCACACATCCCAATTGTTTCTTTCTATTGCCATGATTTTTTATTCAATACATGTTTCATGGCTTACACATATAATGTCCTTATGTAAGTTGAGTGTCCCTTTGATATGTTAGGCTTTTTAATTTAAACTTCTGCGTTAACATTATTTCTTCAACCTATTCTATATATATCTTTGCATTAAATTCATATCTTCGCAGTTGATGAATTTAATTTTATGTTTGTTCAAATGAATTTTATTTCAGAGAGGCTGTGTTTTTATAATGAACGTTTGGATTAGTGTGGTAGATTCTGGTTTAGTTAATTTATTTGAATCTGTCCCATTAACGAGGTATCTGTGCTTCCCTTTTGGTCAAAAAATCAGTCTCAATTAGGTAGATATTTGTGTCGGGAATGGATATTCCATTTATTGGATGAATATTCAGAGGCAAATGGATGTCAAATATAAATATTTAAAATCCATAGGTAGACTGTTCTGCCACTGTTTCATATTCTGGGATATATTTTCACTTCTACTTCTGAAGACTTGTGAGCTTAATGGTAATACTATTCGGTAGCTATTGACTCAATGCAAAAGTAGTTTCCTGCTGACAAAGTTGTCTTCTTGCTGCAGATGGACTACACAAAATCCATGAGAGGGAAAATAAAATATAAGAAGGCCAAATGCTCCCATAATTACCTGAAGATAGTGGAATTGGTAGGGTATGATGGTCACACAACTGATTTTGAACTTGTCAAGTACTTGGCAAAGACTGCTGTGAAACTGGAGAAAATTGTGATAAAAGGAGAAGAGGAGGGCCCATGGAGAAAAATGGCAAGAGATGTTGCTATGCATAAGCTTAAAGAAAAAGTTCCTTCAACTATAGAATTTGTACACCGGTAGGCAGTAGGAGTGCAGTGCTTAAATTATCTAGAGAATTTGTTGGTAATTGGTGGTTAAATTAACAAATATTTTTAAGGTTTGTTTTATTGATTTAAGGAAATAAGTTAAGAATGAGGTTCGACGAATATAGAATGGACTGAGAGGTTGAGGACTTATTGATCAAATTCAAAATAAGTTGATTTTCCTTTCAATATATGTTATCAAACCATCCCTAAAAACTACCAAGGCTAAGAGGACTTGCTCGTTTCTTTAGCGGAAAAAGCTTGGATTCTTAAAACTGAGGAGGTGAACCTTGAAACGCTTGATGGTGAACCTTTTGGGAAGGCCTGCAAGTAACAAAATCAAACAAAAATAATCGCACGAACACCAAATTTGTTCACCAAATAATGTGTTGGATTGTGCGTTAATATCTAACTTGTTAGAAATTTTACCCATTTATGCATATTAAATTAAACTTAGCACAACATACGACAGTAAAAATTTCAAATTAAGTTTCTAAGCAAGTTATAACCGTGATAAATGGTTATACCTTCAAAACTCAGGTTGAGCCTTGTAGCTGAAGTTACAACTCTAGTACCAAACTTCGAACATGATTCCAATAATGAGACTGTTAAGTTAGAAGATGGTTAAAAATCCACCAGTTTAAGTAGAACCGACAATTTCAAGTCCATGCATCCTTGCATTTCGTAAGCATGCAAGTGCAGGTACGGACTCAACATATGCACAAATCATAAGGCCAATTTGTTTCAAAAATGACCAATGCAAGTTGCATTTCCTGCTTGAGATACCACTCAAGAACCAACAGCCACACAACGAATCAGAACAGAAACGCCAGATTGTTTCCTATTGTTTGAAAGCAACCATCACTTTCCTCTTGCAACGAAAGTATGCTCTCAAGATATTCAAAGTGATCAAGACTGGGAAAAAAACCTCTGCAAGTATTTCTTGCATACATTTTGCAAGCAGAAAAGGGTGAAGAAGATAAGATAATTGAGTTCGTATCATAGCCTGAACTAAAAATCATTTTGTTCAATCCATGTGTTTCCTCTTGCCTATGCTACACCAAAAATTATAGACAATAGCTGAAAAAACTTCAATTCATCTTTTAGCATCTTCAGAAGCTGGGGTCTTGCCCTCCTGATCCTGCAAGTGAGCATTAGGAACCGGATGCTGACCTACTACCCACTCTTTGCTGAGGGCTGGTCCTGGTTCTACAGAATCCTGTTTACTGAGGGCTTCTTTCTTAACCGGCTTGCTAGATTCTGAACTACTACGGCTACTTGCTTCTGTTACAATATCTTTCTTCTCATTTCCTCCTTCATGCTCTTTTGTTTGGCCACTATTCATTTGCTTCTTTGATTCAACCACAATTTCCTTCAGAGTTTCTTCAAGTTTATCTAGTCTCACTCTTACCTCCAAAAGTTCCGGATTAGAGGCTTCTTTTTCTTCAGCAGCCTTTAGTTCTATTTCTTTTTCTTTTGCTTTCGCTTCTTCTTCTTTCTTCTTTTTCTGCTCCAGTTCCTGAGATGGTGATTTTGGTGAGGAGAGGAAAGAAAAATAAAAGGAAACCCAGTGTGTGCGTGTGCTTGTGTGTGCATGTCTGCAAATAAACAGCCAGATGAGTGAATCAGTAAAAATATTCATTGCAGCCTGTTTCTGAAAAGCTTGTTTAGAAAACTAGACAGATTCTTAAGGAGTATCCTTGGATTGTAAATGGTGAATCCAAACAATGGAAGAAGTATCATAGATTTAATGCAAAGAGGGGGAAAAAAGGAAAAAGATAGATGATGGTCTATGATGGAAGAAACACAAAATGGCTTACAATCCAATAAAGAGCAATTAATATTTATGCACTATTTAGCCTAAAGATATCAGCACAAAAGCATAAAAGTTCAGTTACCGCTTCCATTCTTCTGATTTCGTAGTGAGCATATTGAGCCACCAGATACACAGCTGTTAAACAAAATAAGTTCTTACATAGTAGTGTGAAACCATGAGAAAACCAAATATGAAACATGATACGTACCCAAGGAAGGCATGCAAACAAAGAACAGTTGTACCAAATGGAAATCGAGCCTGGCCACGAAAAGGAGAAAGGTAAGAACATGTCTCAGCAACAGAGATGAAGATACAAACAGGATATTCAAAGTACAGATAATCTCATTCAGTAATTATTTCTTTGGCAAATAATCTGCAGCACGCAGTTACAAATTAGGTCATTGTAGCCTAGATGGGATGAAAATTAAGTGGCTTGCTGCAAAACTGATGACGGTGCATTAAGTTCCTTTCCTAGTACTTATGTATTACCAAAGACCTAATCATTAAATTTGTTTCCTTTTAACTCCAAATAGGAAATTCTAACAATAAAAGACTCAAAAAATGGGAATGATTTATTTGGGTGACTAAAATGCATTCCATCAAGTTTTACACATACACCAACATTTGCTTGAACATTTTCCTATCCTTAAACAACTTCTAATAAATCCAGACCACCCTAAACAGGTGCTTTAGTAACTGGCTTCAAATTCAATATTTTCCACACAACCATTGTTAGCACTCGTTCATTTGAACCTTAAAACACCCACCATGCTGCTTCCAATTTCAATTAAATTTTCATTTTAACATTCTCCCGGCTACAAAGTGTCTAGTGTCTACATACATGTGCAAATTTGTTTAATACAATGCCAATGAGAACCAAAAACAACCCACAATATTTAAGAAGAACAAAAGCAAAACCACACAGAGAAAAAATGAAAGAAGCAGAAAATGCAAAGCAAAGCAATACCCAAACTTCTTTTTGGAAGGTGGACCAGTGAAGAGGATTTTTGCAGCTTTCATGAAGTCGAGCTTGTCCAGTTGCTTAAGTGAGTCCTGGTATCTACTCAGACTTGTCTCCTCAGCATTGCCACTGCTCTGGTTAAAGTTTGTGTTGGTGTTCGTATTCGGAGCCTTGGAGCAAAATGGTCTCCTTGGTTGTAATATTGTGGGTTTTAAGCGTTTCGGGAGCCTGACCAAGGTGTCTCTGGCCAAAAAGTTAAGTCAAACTCATGTTTTATCTTGTTTCTGGCTTGGTCTAAATTAATGAAAAAATTCTTATTACATTGCATAAGCTTTTATCAGAACACCAATCGAATGGACTCAATGCAACTTTCAGCATCTATCTAGTAAACCTATTCGAAAGAAAATCATATAGGCTTTCTAGTAATACTTCATTTGTTTTCTTTCTTTTTTCTTTTTTTTCTTTTTCTTTTTGGAGTTTATGATTTTACTCCACAAGTAACGACTCACCCCCAAAACAAAGAACTGATTTTAAACTTTCCAGGTTGAATCCCCATCAAATGTGAAAAAAAAGAGTTTCCAACTACCCAATTCTCGAACCAAACGTTAAGCTTCATACACACTTCCAAATTCCTTTTTTTCCCCCCAGATTCTCAGCAACCAAACAGAGACTAGTGACTAATGTCCAACTTTCTAAATCATAAGTTAAAAATAAATAAAAATTTAAAAACGAAAAATAAGCAAAAGACAGAGGAGGAGGGAGAGGATTAAGTGGACACCTGATTAGGAGGAGAGCGATCGAATTCGTAATGTATCTCATTGCGTAACAGTCTGAGAATGTTTGCTTGGAAGGCCGATTGAAGAAGCATTTCAGAGATGTAAGTTCTTAGGCATTGTGTTGGTAGGAGACGGGGGTTTAAGAGGGAGACTTGTTTTTCAGGGGCTAAATGCAAAGTAGGTTTTTTCTGAATTAGAATTTTGGAGGAAGAAGAAGGAAAAACCACGGATTTTCGTAAGGGTCGGATTAGGAGTGCCATGGAGTTGGGAATACTTTCCGTGTCTCATGTTTTAGGGTTTTAGGGCTTAAGACCATTTTTGGTAGAACCTTGGAAGAACGGTGAAAAATGGTGATTGTGAATGGTAAAAAGCCTAGGCCCCTTTTGGAAAAGTCCAGCCCAATTATCAGTCAAATCGCTTGCCTGGCAATTTGGGCAAAGGGTTTTTAAGAGCATTAACCTTGAATTTGTACCCGATTTGCATTTCGGTCTTTCAATGGACAAATTAGTTTTTGTAGTCTCTCAACTCCACTCACGTTAGCAACATTGTTTACGGCGTTACATTTTCTGTCATAGGGGTAAAACATAGAGCTGGGCATATGGGACCGAAAACCGACCAAACCGACCGAACCAAACCGGTCGATCTGGTTTGGTTTGGTTTTTTTTACCGGACCGAACCGGGTATGTTAAATTATATGTAATTAAATAATTATAATACAACCTTATTTCCATTTTCAACATTTAAGTAAATGTCTTTGTCATTTTACTTTTATTTATTTTTATATTACTCCATTTACTTAAGTTTACAATGTAAATAAGGAAGTACCCCCCATTTGGATTCAAATAAAAATACTAGAAAATCAAATTCCAACCAAATCAAATTATGAAAAATCGATTTTAGTGCAAAATACGATTTAGGCTAAAAATGATGGCTCATTAAGTCAATATATACTTCATACTAAAATCCCATAAAATCAAGTTTTCTTATTTGATGTGTGAGGAATAAAAGTCGCCAAAAATTATCTTGAGAAAATGATTATTCCGAAAACCCATTTTTCATACTTAGTCAATATTTTTACATAATTGTGAATGATGCATATGGTTTACTTTGAAACTTTGGATGGATGTGAATGATGAACGATGCATATGTTTTAGTTTGAATTGAAAGGATTGATTGAATGAATGAATTTGAATATGTTGTAATGTGAATGGTGAATGAATGTTTGAGTTTGAATGAATTTAGAGTCTACATGTTTCCAAGCAGGTTTTCACCAAACCAAATCAAACCAAACCGAGCTAACCGGTTAACCGAGATAATCGGTTAACCGGTTCATTGGTTCGGCGCACGGTTTGAATTTTCTCCAAACCGGAGTTCATGGTTCGGCGCACGGTTTGGCCTCAAAACCAAACCAAACCGAACCGAACCCTCACCCACCCCTCCCACTTTTCAGCAACCCCAACCCCTACCCTCCCCACCCAGCGAGTCGTCAATCACCCCTTTCTTCGGCACATGTAGCACCATTGAAACCACCCACAATTTCCCCATCGAACACCCCAACCCACCGCACACACACACAGCACTACGCGACATCAACTCTCATCCCCACACCAACTTACCTGCCAAACACATTGGTATT